GGGACATTCGCCCCTATTTGTTCTGATGACCACTTCCTCTGCACAAAAAGTGATGGGAAATCCAAGATGTTAGAGGTTTTACAAAAGAAGAAGGCGGGGGGGGGGGGATCTTTTATTAAGGGCATTTATTTTGATGACAGCTGTCTAAGGGCTTGTTCACACCTTACAGTACAGTTTGTAATACAGTATGTTGTAATGCACAATGCAACACGTCTCTATGCAGGACTGGCCATAGGGCACAGAGAGCATTTGCCTGGTGGAGGGGGTCGCATGGCCTAAGAAGAGCAGCCTGTTGATGACTGGGCTTCACAGTGGGAGGTAAGCGGTGAATGCGGTCTGGACAGGGTTAACACAGGCCGCTGCTCACCTCCCGATATGCGGCTATGCCTAAAGCAGGGCCAACAGGAGGGGCAGCAGAGATGGCTACAGCTGCAAACAGGAAGCACCTGCAGAGGATAAACACCTCCCAGGCCAGCCCCTGCAGATACAACAGCACTGAAGGGACAACAGTGGCCTCTCTTCTTCACCGACAGGCACACTGTGACAGCCAAAAGTCCCGCTGTGTAGCGGCGGTGGATTGGGCTGTCTCTTGCTGGACGATGTCTCTTTGTTGGATTGAGATGTCTCTTTGCTGGATTGAGATGTCTCTTTGCTGGATGGGATGTCTCTTTGCTGGACAGAATTTCTCTTTGCTGGATTGGGATGTCTCATTTTGGATTGGATGTCTCTTTGCTGGATTGGGATGTCTCTTTGCTGGATGAGATGTCTCTTTGTTGGATGGGATGCCTCTTTGCTGGGCTAGGCTGTCTCTTTTCTGAACTGGGATGTTTCTTTGCTGGATGGGGATGTCTCTTTGCTGGTTTGGGCTGTCTCTTTACTAGATGGGGATATCTCTTTGCTGGATTGTGCTGTCTCTTTGCTGGATTGGGCTGTCTCTTTGCTATATGGGGATATATATTTGCTGGACTGGGTTGTCACTTTACTGGATTGGGCTGTGTCTTTGCTGGATGGAGATGTCTCTTTGCTGTATTGGGCTGTCTTTTTTGCTAGTAAATGAAGATGTCTCTTTGCTGGAAGGGGATGTCTCTTTGCCGGATATGGCTGTCTCTTTGCTACATGGGGATGTATCTTTGCTGGACTGGGCTGTCCCTTTGCTCTATGGGGATGTCTCTTTTGCTGGATTGGGATGTCTCTTTGCTGAATTGGGCCATCTCTTTGCTCAGTTTATAGGGGGAACTGTGGTTAGAGAGAAAAGGTGGGGGGGGGGGGGCATGACTGCAAGGGCCACTGTGAAGGGGGACTATGATTTTCAGGGGCACTGCAGTCTAAAGGGGCACTATTTTATAACGGTAACTGCACTGTAAAGGGGCACTGTAATCAATACAGTGCACCTTTACAGTGCAATCCCCTTTATATCACAGTGTCTCTTTTCATTACAGTGCAGTGGACCGGGCCTATTTTTTTTTATGTCCCAAATCTGGGCCTGTCTCTATGTACAGCAGCACATTCATGGCGGCACAATGCAATTGGGTGTGAATGGGTACAAAGAGGGATTTTCCCTGGTGGGGTCTTAACCATTCCCTACCAAAATTAAGTAGAGAAGTTTTGGTTTTACATACATTTTAGGCCTCATGCTCAATGGATGCTTTTGCTATCCTTTCTAGATGCCTTTCCCCCTAACAGTGGTGTTTTGGCAGAAAATGCTTGACACTCGTAAACGTGTGTAACTCGTTTAGGCGTGTCAAGCATTTGGGTGTTAATTCGTTTCATTGGCCTGAATAATAATTCATTCTGCCCATTGAAATTAATTAACACTCAACACGCTAAACAGGCCTAGCGCTTAGTTGCATTTACAGGCTTCAAGAGTTTTTTCTGCCAAAAAAAACTGCTGCTCCTTGATGCATTGGCAGTGGGTTTTTCTTTCTGCCTTTAAATGCCCCTGCCTCTAAATTCCTCTAAATGTCTATGTGTGCACGGACACATGGGCTAACATGCAGGGGCATTTAGAGGCAGACGGAAAAAAAATGCCAGACACCCCTAAGAGCAGCATCAAAAATGTACAGTGTGCATGAGGCCTTAAAGTGAACCTACTGCTTTGCCCACCATGATCAAAGTCCACTTTAAAGTGGAACTAAACTCACCTCCACTCCAGCACTGTGGTGTCCTGGAGCTCCTTTATCAGCTGCTTACATCCTTCAGATGAACCTCCTCTGGGTACCAAACAGTGGACAGGCCGAGATGACATCACTGCTGCACATCATTGGGAGTTAACTGATCTTGGCCAGATGCCAAAAGTGTGCAAGCATCGCTCTGTGTACAGTGGGACAGACAGGTTAGAAGCTTTAATGCAGAAGAGACATACATATGTCTTATCTACATTAAAACATTCTGCTTATTCGCAATTTTTAAAAATGTATTATTACAGTTCCACTTTAAGAGCCCATTTGGATCTATTCATGTGCGTTAGTGTTACGTAGGTGCATTGCCATGCATCATCATGCATTAACATGTGCATTGAGGCACATTTTCAATATGTTTTTGATTTTAGAAATTGGAGTAGAAAGAGGTAGCATCCATTGACCCAGGCATGTTATTACCTGTTTGCAATACATAAAAATGCATGTTGCATGTGTAGCACTTAACACTTGCTGAATTTTGGGTCCCACTATAAGTCCTTCACAGCCAGACAACACGCATTTGCTTCCTTACTTGCCCACTGGAGATATTAAATAATCCTTGAACTTGTTTATGATGTTTTATTAAGGGGTGTTGAACTTGCAGTGGGTCAAGGGATGTATGGGATACCCAAGGAACTGTGAACATGAGGACAAACTCCTTAGCAACTATGTACAAGTCTATAGACAAACAATCCCTCTCCAGCCCTCCTGGTTTACCACCTTAGACCCCAGATGAATCCTCCTGTTCACCCAGCTGCCTGAAGAAATCCATGGACAAGGGGACCCAGAAACTGCTAATTTAGCACAGCATCCCTGGATGAAAAGCTAGTTGGGTTCTCCACCTGACTGCCCTTTCCCCTTAACTTGCTCAGGGGGTGTAGGATTACTCATTCAGTCCTCTGTGAGTTTGATGGGTTGGTGGCTGCCTTCGGGCCTTATGCTGGGCTGGCTCCTTCCCTGCTCCACAGGCAATCCTCTCTCAGGGGATAGTGAAGCTAACAGATCCTCTTTCCAGCACCTGCTTGCAGGTAGGCCCCTCTTTGGGCCCCTTTTAGGCTCCACACTCCAGCCTTCATTTCATCTTCCACCTGACATTACTCCTCCTGCTGACCAGTCTCTCTAATATTTAAGGGCAGTCCTGACTCCATACCAAGCCTCCTGCTTGGGTATTGGCCAAGATCCCTTAAGTATGCAGCTTAGCCCCTCCTCACCCCACCCCACTACCTTCTAGAAACTGCTGAAGCTTCTAGATCAGGGAGAGGTTCAATGAACTGACCTGTAGAGCCCTCAGCCCTGACCCAGAGTAACTTGGCTGACTCATCCCAGGCTGCCATTCAGCACCTGCCTAAAAAGCTGACTAGCTCCCCATAGCTAACTAGCGGGGTGCTACATACACTGTATTGCCAAAAGTATTGGGACACCCCTCCAAATCATTGGATTCAGGTGTTCCAATCACCTCCATGGCCACATGTATATAAAATCAAGCACCTAGGCATGCAGACTGCTTCTACAAACATTTGTGAAAGAATGGGTTACTCTCAGGAGCTCAGTGAATTCAAGCATGATACTGTGATAGGTTGCCACCTGTGCAATAAGTCCTAGCTGCTAAATATTTCATGGTCAACTGTTAGTGGTAATATAATAAAGTGGAATCAACTGGGAACAACAGCAATTCAGTATCGAAGTGGTAGGCCACGTAAAATGACAGAGCGGGGTTAGCACATGCTGAAGCACACAGTGCGCAGATGTCGCCAACTGTTTGCAGAGTCAATATCTAAAGACCTCCAAACTTCATGTGTCCTTCAGATTAGCACAACAACAGTGCATAGAGAGCTTCATGGAATGGGGTTTCTGTGACCGAGCAGTTGCATCCAAGCCTTACATCACCAAGTGCAATGCAAAGTGTTGGATGCAATGATGTAAAGTGCGCCACCACTAGGCTCTAGAGCAGTGGAGACGTGTTCTCTGGAGTGACGAATCACACTTCTCTGTCTGGCAATGCGATGGATGTGTCTGGGTTTGGCGGTTGCCAGGAGAAAGGTACTTGCCTGACTGCATTTTGCCAAGTGTAAAGTTTGGTGGAGGGAGGATTATGGGGTGGGGTTTTTTTTCAGAGGTTCAGCTTGGCCCCTTAGCTTCAGTGAAGGGAACTGTTAAGGCGTCAGCATACCAAGACATTTTGCACAATTTCAAGCTCCCAACTTTGTGGGAACAGTTTGGGGATGGCCCCTTCCTGTTCCAACATGACTGCGCACCAGTGCACAAAAACAAGGTCCATAAAGACATGGATGAGTGAGTTTAGGGTGGAGGAACTTGACTGGCCTGTACAGAGTCCTGACCTTAACCTGATAGAACACCTTTGGGATGAATTAGAGCGGAGACTGTGAGCCAGGCCTTCTCATCCGACATCAGTGCCTGACCTCACAAATGCGCTTCTGGAAGAATGGTCAAACATTCCCATAGACACACTCCTAAACCTTGTAGACAGCCTTTCCAGAAGAGTTGAAGCTGTCATAGCTGTAAAGAATGGGCCAACTCAATATTGAACCCTATAGACTGAGACTGGGATGCCATTAAAGTTCTTGTGCATGTAAAGGCAGGTGTCCCAATACTTTTGGCAATATAGTGTATGCATTGCTTTTGACTTCAATGGGCTTTCCAACTTCCTAAAATGCAGAAAAAAATGGACATGCCCTATTTCTCAAAGCACACTGCACTGCAGCACTGAGGAGAGAACAGACGCTGTTTTAATTATATGGATTATATGCATGTTTTAGGCCTCATTCACCCAAGCAAACTGATCCATATACCTCTGTGAAGGGATGCTCTATGCAGCTAACCTGTTCAAATCAATGACTGGCAGATAGCTGTACGGACCTGCGTCAATCTCCAAGCGCATTCTTGAGTGTACATCAGTGTGGGTCCGATGTAAGGATCATGACACTGTCAGAACATGTGTTCTGATCCTTGAATTGGACCTGTGCGGATGTACTCACGAGAATGCGCTTGGTCCAGGAGCGGAGTGACAACTCATGGGGCCCCCGGGCAATAGGGGATCATGGGGCCCCTGTGTCCTTGCCCAAACTCAAAAAAGCCTATGAAAAAGGTACCAGGGGCATCTCATGGGGCCCCTTACTGACCCCGGGCCCTCGGGCAGTGCCTGAGTTTCCAAATGGTCAGTCCGCCCCTGGCTTGGTCCGTCTCATTGATTTGAACAGGCTGCCTGCACAGGGCTGAACGCAACACCCACGCGGATTAAGATGGCCCTAGATAAATATGGCCACAGGTGTATGGATCGGTACACCCATATAATAAATAAGGCCTTGCATTACAATGCAGCACTGTAAATAGGGGGACATCTGCTGCAAAGGGCAGGAAAGGAAGAAGAGGCAGATTTCAGAAAGACAGAAGGATGGTAGGTAAGAGAGTAAAGAATGTTAATTATGAAGAGAAGGGATGGGGTTGTACACCAATGTGGATGAAGCGTGTGCTCAGATTGACACACGGGCTGCCACTGCTGACCCTGAACCTTACATATACATTGCATGAACTGCGTTGAATAGTCAGATCCACACTGACCATCATTCTGCAGTACAGGTGTCAGTGTATATTGCAGCGTTAGCAAGCAAAGCCAGTCACCCAGGAAGCTGGAGTCTCAAGCAACACTCACAGAGACCTGTCAGAAATCTGCTAGGATAGAACCGTGAGCCATGCACTGCATTCTGATCAGCAAGTTTACGGATTGCATGAAAGTGAAGCAGTGTGCACAAGAATCGGGTATTTATAGAATGGTACACATGGAGGATTTGCAGCTGCAGAGACGGGGGGAAAGGGCCGTGCAGCAGTGCACAATGAAAGACTGAAATTATAAAACCAGCAGTGACAGGGACAGGATCTGCAATTAACTGAGCAACACAAGCTCTGTGACAGCTCAGTACACACATCGCATGGGGATCAAATGTTAATGTACATAAGGAGCTGATCATCACAGATCAGTGAACACATAAAGGCAATAGTCACAGATCAGTGCACACAGGGAGGTGACAGTCACAGATCAGTGCACACATAGAGGTGATAATCACAGATCAGTGCACACATAGAGGTGATAGTCACAGATCAGTGCACACATAGAGGTGATAGTCACAGATCAGTGCACACAGGGAGGTGATAGTCACAGATCAGTGCACACAGGGAGGTGATAATCACAGATCAGTGCACACATAGAGGTGATAATCACAGATCAGTGCACACATAGAGGTGATAATCACAGATCAGTGCACACATAGAGGTGATAGTCACAGATCAGTGCACACAGGGAGGTGATAGTCACAGATCAGTGCACACAGGGAGGTGATAGTCACAGATCAGTGCACACATAGAGGTGATAGTCACAGTCACAGATCAGTGCACACAGGGAGGTGATAATCACAGATCAGTGCACACAGGGAGGTGATAGTCACAGATAGTCACAGATCAGTGCACACATAGAGGTGATAGTCACAGATCAATGCACACAGGGAAGTGATAGTCACAGATCAATGCACACATGGGAGTGATAGTCACAGATCCGTGCACACATGAGGTGATAGTCACAGATCAGTGCAAACATATGAATTGATTAGTCACAGATCAGTGCACACAGGGAGGTGATAGTCACAGATCAGTGCACACAGGGAGGTGATAGTCACAGATCAGTGCAAACAGTGAGGTGATAGTCACAGATCAGTGCACACAGGAAGTGATAGTCACAGACCAGTGCACACAGTGGAGGTGATAGTCACAGATCAGTGCACACACAGGGAGGTGATAGTCACAGATCAGTGCACACACAGAGGTGATAGTCACAAATCAGTGCACACACAGAAGTGATAGTCACAGATCAGTGCACACAGGAGGTGATAGTCACAGATCAGTGCACACACAGAAGTGATAGTCACAGATCAGTGCACACAAGGAGGTGATAGTCACAGATCAGTGCACACATAGAGGTGATAGTCACAGATCAGTGAACATATAGAGGTGATAGTCACAGACCAATGCACACACAGAAGTGATAGTCACAGATCAATGCACACATGGAAATGATAGTCACAGATCCGTGCAAACAGTGAATTATTAGGCACAGATCAGTGCAAACAGTGAATTATTAGCCACAGATCAGTGCACACAGGGAGGTGATAGTCACAGATCAGTGCACACAGGGAGGTGATAGTCACAAATCAGTGCACACATGGAAGTGATAGTCACAGATCAGTGCACACAGGGAGGTGATAGTCACAAATCAGTGCACACATGGAAGTGATAGTCACAGATCAGTGCACACAAGGAGGTGATAGTCACAGATCAGTGCACACAGGGAGGTGATAGTCACAGATCAGTGCACACAGGGAGGTGATAGTCACAGATCAGTGCACACACAGAAGTGATAGTCACAGATCAGTGCACACAAGGAGGTGATAGTCACAGATCAGTGCACACACGGAAGTGATAGTCACAGATCAGTGCACACACAGAAGTGATAGTCACAGATCAGTGCACACAAGGAGGTGATAGTCACAGATCAGTGCACACAGGGAGGTCATAGTCACAGATCAGTGCACACAGGGAGGTCATAGTCACAGATCAGTGCACACAGGGAGGTGATAGTCACAGATCAGTGCACACAGGGAGATGATAGTCACAGATCAGTGCACACAGGGAGATGATAGTCACAGATCAGTGCACACATAGAGGTGATAATCACAGATCAGTGCACACAGGGAGGTGATAGTCACAGATCAGTGCACACATAGAGGTGATAGTCACAGATCAGTGCACATAGGTGATAGTCATAGATCAGTACACACAGGGAGATGATAGTCACAGATCAGTGCACCTATAGATAATAGAGATCATTTTGCACCGATCAGGTGATATTCAATGCCTTGTGAGCATGGACACATTTATACTTGTATAGATCTGTATACATTTATTAATAATATTTTAACATTACCTATCTATTATTGTCCACTAAACAATCTAATAATGTGGACTCAAAGATGTTCTTGCTAAGAAGCAGTAAATATTCCAAGTATAAGATATTATGTTCGCTAGATCCACAAAAAATGTATCCACGTTTGCGGATTCAAAGCTAGAGATTGTCTAACAACAACAACGTCTGATTCCTGGAAAGCTCCTGCTCCCAAGTTACCGCCACTCATACAGCATTAGTGGCCTTTTAAGATGACATTAACCCTTTGCATATTTATACTGAGTTCCTGGGCTGGGGTCAAAGCGGCTCATTAACCACAGAAAGGTCTTACAAACTGTACATACACAGAACTGATCCATGTACGTAGACGCAGAAGTTGCAGTATGAAGGTGATGTAGATCAGTGCATACTAGATGAGGATAGAGATAACTGAATACAAAGTGGTCAGTTGTAAAGTTCCGAACACATAGAGAAATGCATACACAATTGTCCCACGTGGTTTCTTGAGGAGAAATGCAATGCAGGGAAAAACTATGAAAACTGGCTTAGCAGGCAGCTCTGCAAGGGGAACATCTAGGATTTCTCAAGCAGTTAGCTGAGGTTCTGCCTGGAGCCCCACATGAACAAATGACTTAATGCCCTCTAAGCACTTGTCTGAGGAAGTCTTTATGGTGGAAAATCATGCATATTCAATACTCTGCCATTGTGCTGCCCTGCACTGTTTGTCTAAGTGGCACTGAGATCAGTGATGCGTGATTTTATGACCAGATCACTCAAAGTGGGGGCCACTTAAAGCAGATCTTTACCCTATTGAACAATTTCTACCTTAATAATGTTTTCCCTTTTTTCTTTTCTTTTTTTTTTACATACCCCTTTTTAATTTGTGTGAGGTATCACTCTTCAGCCTTTTGGCCTAAACAAGAATGCCATATCCCCTACTGCCCTGAGTCTCCTGGGTACCCATGTCACAAATTCTAGGAGGGTTTGGGGCAATCTGCACCTCACATGTGCATGTGTTTGGGCAATCTCCACCACACTGTGCATGTATCGGGCAATCTGCACCACACTGTGCATGTATCGGGCAATCTCCACCACACTGTGCATGTATCGGGCAATCTGCACCACACTGTGCATGTGTCTAGGACCACATGGGCAATCTCCACCACACTGTGCATGTTTCGGGCAATCTGCACCACACTGTGCATGTGTCGGGCAATCTGCACCACACTGTGCATGGGATGCGCAATCTCCACCACTCTGTGCATGTTTCGGGCAATCTCCACCACACTGTGCATCTGTCGGGAATCTGCACCACACTGTGCATGTTTTCGGGCAATCTGCACCACACTGTGCACGTGTCGGGCAATCTGCACCACACTGTGCACGTGTCGGGCAATCTGCACCACACTGTGCACATGTCGGGCAATCTGCACCACACTGTGCATGTGTCGGGGCAATCTGCACCACACTGTGCATGTGTCGGGTAATCTGCACCACACTGTGCATGGGATGGGCAATCTCCACCACACTGTGCATGTTTCGGGCAATCTGCACCACACTGTGCATGGGATGGGCAATCTGCACCACACTGTGCATGTGTCGGGCAATCTGCACCACACTGTGCATGGGATGGGCAATCTGCACCACACTGTGCATGTGTCGAACAATCTGCACCACACTGTGCATGGGATGGGCAATCTGCACCACACTGTGCATGGGATGGGCAATCTGCACCACACTGTGCATGTGTCGGGCAATCTGCACCACACTGTGCATGGGATGGGCAATCTGCACCACACTGTGCATGTGTCGAACAATCTGCACCACACTGTGCATGTGTCGGGCAATCTGCACCACAGTGTGCATGGGATGGGCAATCTGCACCACACTGTGTGTGTGTTGAACAATCTGCACCACACTGTGCATCTGTAGGGCAATCTACACCACACTGTGCATGTGTAGGACAATCTGAAGATCCAAGCTGTAGGCTGTCGATAGGTAGATCGCAGACACGGTCCTGCTTTGCCGGTGTCTCCCCCTAACCTCCACCACTCTCATTTTCCCTGCAGATCAGAGGCAGCACAGTGCTGCATGGAGGGTTGGAGCGGGAGCGGGAGCGGACTCAGATAACCTTTCAAGTTAACCAGCAGGTGATTGGTTGCTAGGATAACAGGCAGTCCTAGCAACCACACACCACCAGCTTGTTTATGTGAAAAGTTAACTCT